ATAAAATCAAAATTTTTAATAATTCTTTGACTAAATTTAGCATGTACAAATTTGTAATGAAGGAATATAATTGCAAATTTATGTATATACTTATTTTTTAATTTTACAATATTATCAGATATTTTTTTAATAATTTTTCTAAGTTTAGAGAATTGAATATAAAATCATTAGAAGAATGCTAAAAATGTTAACAAGTGATAAATTTGTCACAGAAACGATGTCAAAATGACACTTGTGCAGAAATTATAACGAGAATAATAATGAAGACAGAGAGAGAGCAAACGAACGTCGTAGCCTCTAAATAAAATTTTCTAGACGATCGTGACTTGTTCAGTTTCAACCTCGTTTTGCGCTCCACATTTTCACCTTTTATTTGCCGGCTATCGATGGAAAAATCAATCGGCCATTTCTCAATTCGAACGAATTTACAGGAGGATTGTGCCAGTTCCACTTCTGATTCTCGACCATTTCCCTCTTCCATTATTTTTCCCTTTTTATTATATCGTCAAAATCGCGAGAGACCAAACAAGATGCAATCATCGAGCACGAAATGATAAATCCATTTAATATAACAATATGAATATAATCGATGTTCTTCGACAAATAGAGTTCTTTAAAAATCCTTTCCTTTTTCTTATTTTTATTTTTATTTATATTATAATGTTTTTATTATTATAATTTTGTTGTATTCAATTTATAATAAAAATTATTTGTTAAGTACAATTTATTTTTTAATCCTTTTGTTAGTAAATGTACATCATTTAATATATGTATGAAGGAAATTAAAAATAAAAAGAAAATGAAAAAGAAATTAAATGTTAATTTCTAATTTATCTCACTCATCTATCTGAAGCTTGCAAAGAAATAAGAAGTTTCTACTTCTTTTATTCTCTTTTATTATTTTTCCTCTCTTTTCCTATTTTATTGTCAAATTAAAAGCTTTAAATAATCATAATTTAATCTTATTCTCTTCTAATAAAAATGAAACTAATAAAATTTATCCTAATTTAATTTATTTTATCTATTTTCATTGAGATAAAATTTATATCCTTATAATTAATTCCTTTTCCATTCTTTTTTTCCTATCCATTTCAAAAATCACAAATGAAACTAAACAGCATATATTATCATCATTAATTCAAACTCGAAACTTAGGAGTTAAATAGTAATAAGGAGTTAAATAGTAATAAAATCATTACACTTATTTAAGATATATTTTCTAAACAAATTGATAAACTGCAATTAATCTCGTTCCATATTCACCACGCTGTAATTAATATTTCAGTCGGAGCTCGTTTAAATTTTGCACTTGTGTTTTCACGTCTCGAAGCAAAGTAGTTTTCTTTCCCAGTTACTTTTTTTCCTTTATTTCGCAGCAGGATTGGACCTTTTCGTAAATAACACGACACGTGAATGAAGTCGTTAAGGCCTATGCCTCATGTTGTTGCTGTTATTCTTGTTAATTCATATCACGAACACGTTAATTGCCAGCAAATTTTCTCTGTCGAGTTCGACTTCTATAGAATTATAAAGCTCGGTAATGAATACAGGGAGAAAGGGGGAGGAGAACTATTCTTTCATATCGTATCGTGGAAAACGAGCTGATACGGAACACTGATTCTTATTTTGCGAGAATTTCTTCAATCGCGTAATTATCGAGACCGAACGTGAGCTTACGAATAATTCTAGAAAATGGAATTCTGAAAAACTTTATTTATCATTTCTGGAAATATTCTTTATTATATATTGTAATTAATTTCAACGAAAATACTTGTTAAACTTGTTATCTCTTTCATATTTATAATATATTAATAGAGGCTTCTTGAATTTTTTTATTTATGTAATTTTATTGTTTAAAATATGATACAAAAATATATGGTAATAATGGAATCCTGTTATTAAATAATCTAATAAAAAATAATATCATTAATTATTAATTATTATATATAACAACAAATTATATTTTTATAATGGGGTAAAGGATAGAAAATAAGAATAGACAAATTTTTGATGCAATTATTTATTGAAATAATTAATTTTCAATCTCGAATCGTATATTTTCTTCATATCAAATATAAATTACAATTTTTGTCGTTGATTGCAATCCACCAATTGATAATTGATTTAATATAAATGCAATTTAAATCTTGATGCGGACAAGTAACGTTTTGTCGTAGGACCATGTATATATATATATATATATATTTATTTTTCCAATTAAAAACAACGATATATAATCGCATCATTCAAAAGTCGCTCGTTCATCTTATTAGTAATGCAATCGTTTAATTGCAATCGTTTAATTGCCTCGATTTGACAAGCTATTCTTTAATTATTCGATATCGGTATTCGGTCCATAGACTGTGATTCCATCGTCAAAGCGTTCATTGCGATATTACAATGTATCGTTGCTCCATGCATTACACAATTTCTCGTGATTCATTTCAAAGCTGTTCAACAAAAAAAAAAAAAAAGATAAAACTGGGACGACGCGCTCGAGCGGAATCTTTTTATTGGTCTCGACACTCACCATTAACTTAATAACATTTTATCGCAACCGTTTTTATTACTCCAATGATGCAAGAGTTTAAAATGTGGTTGAAAGTTTAATCCTTGCGTATCTCTTTCTCAACATTATCCTTTATGGTTGTATTCGGTCTTTTGTATAATTTATTTTATTGTTCCTATCCTCTTATGATCGTCGAATATATGAATATGAATCATTGATAATGTGGATCTTGTATTCTCAATCGTGACACCTGAAAAAATGACCATGATTAATTTTAATTGATCTATGAGTTTATGAGCCTTTCTCTACAAACAGTTAATAATAGAGTATTGAATAATCATATTGAAATAAATAAATGCTATAAATTTATTATATAATATTTTTCGTATAAGTAATTTTGATTAAAAATAATCGAGATTTATTCGATATTTATTTATATTGATATTATTTTTAAGGAAATTTTAATAAAATGATTTTTAGTGCTTTATTTTGATTATATTGTAATATTAATTGTAATATTGTTTTTTTTTTCTTACTTTTTTATCATTAAAAAAGGGAAATATGATTTAAAAAGACTTGGAAAATATTGGATTTTAATTTTGAAATTGCATTTTTTATATTTCAGAGTATGTATTAATTATTCTACTCAATATCTTTTACTGATCAATCTTTTATTTGGAATTTTCTTATTTAAAATTTTCTAATAAATAAATCTCGATTATTTTTAATCAAAATTACTTATACGAAAAATATTATATAATAAATTTATAGCATTTATTTATTTCAATATGATTATTCAATATTCTATCATTAACTGTTTGTAGAGAAAGACTCATAGGTTATTCACGAGCTTTTACAAGATAAATGATGATATTAGTAATTCTCGATCAGTTTAATAATGAGCCTTTACAAAATAAATGACGATATTAGTAATTCTCGATCGATTTAATAATCCTCTTTGACTCGCTTGAAAATTGATCAAACTATCCTGCTTTTGTGTCAACAAATATGAAAGATAAGAGGAAATATGAATGAATATGGATCCTCGATAAATTTCATTCGATACATGGAAGAAATCATATGACACAGGAATTTCACAACGTGCGACAATTATGCAAATAAAATTCATATTTCAACTACAGTGAAATTCTTGTTTTTGAATGATCAATAATATTGAATATGTAATAAAAAGAATTGTGAATCGATACTTTTCATCTTGTATTCAATAGAATCTAGTTGAATCGAAAAGAAAAAAAGTAAAAAAAATCAAAGAAAAAAGAAACAGGAAGCAGAAACCAACAACGGAAAACCAAGAAATCTGTGATAACTCGAATGATTTATAGAAGGAGGGAAAATTCCAAACATGGAATAAACGAAAAAGAAATAGTAGTAAGATTTATTCTTCGTGACGTCCATCTTCTTTTCTTTCTTATTTTTTTCTCCTCTTGGTTTTCAAAGAATGTAAGCCAGTCTAACGACGAGTACTTGTTATTATTATTGTTAAACAAACTTGAAGAACAATTGTTCATTCCTTGTAAATAATCCTTGTAAATAAATAATATTCCTTGTAAATAAATAAATCTATATAAATTGAAAAAAAAATGGTTTTAATAATTTTAATACACCAAGCCTTTGATTCAAAAGCACAATTGTATTTCAGGATGTTGAAATCCTGTCAACAGATATTTGACCAAATTTCATCTTTTCCAAAATAATAGCTAATGCTCGAGATTAAACACATAACACGCAAACGTTTGCATATTCGATCGATAATGAACTCGCGTGTTGGGCAGAATTTACAGGAATGTTATGAGCAAAGCAATGGGATTCAAATGAGAATCGATACTGGTACTGTCACGTACGAATGTCAATATAATATACATTCCCTTGGTAATCTATCTTCGTTTCCGTGGGTGAAAAATTTTTAAAATGTATTATGCAATCTGAAAATTACTATGTATAAAATAGCAAAAAGTTTGAAATCACTAATGCAAAATCCAATAATTTAAATGATTAAAAAAATTTGCTAGTTTTAAAAAAAACTTTTTATGTGTGAAATCCATTAATTCGTGATATTAATTTCAAATTGATAAGAAAATTAATTTGAAGGAAATTAAATTATTGGAAAAATAATTTGAAACTTTAGAAGTGATGAGACTTTCACGTTTTATTAAATAAAACCAACAAGAAAGCAACGAGGAAATCAAAGCTTGTTAAAGTTTCTCCAGATATTCAAAATTGACTAGAATATCTGGAACTGCTAAGAATCTTACTTAACAGTTATTATCTCATCAGACTTCTTCTATCTTCCAAGACTTCCTATATTATCTGCTGCAATTCATAAATATTCCAAGATTTAATTTTAAGACCAATGATAACTTACGTGAATTTTTTAATTTCAATTTTAAATCACAATTTTTTTTTTTCATGTATTTCTTCTCTTTCAAAAATTGATCAATCAAATTGTATTAAATTATATAATTACAGGTACCTACCAGCCACCCAGCACGATTGTTCTCTTTCATGAACCCTCTTGCCATTCAAATCTGGCTATACGTGCTCGCCGCGTACGTCCTCGTCTCGGTGATGATGTTCGTGGTCGCGAGGATCAGCCCCTATGAATGGAACAACCCTCATCCCTGTCACGCAGGCTCCGAAATGGTCGAGAATCAATTCTCGTTGGCCAACAGCTTTTGGTTCACCATTGGCACTCTGATGCAGCAAGGTAGCGATTTGAATCCCAAGGTATGTAATCGAATACCTCGTTATCTTATGATGTAAATTTTTCCCATCGTCGGGAAGAATGAACAATGGAATAATTAGAGAATAATAAATGAAATTTATTACAAACGACGAATTACAAATTTTTCGAAAATATCGAAATAAATTATCCGCTAGAAGAAATTTAAATTAAATTTGGAAATTTTAAATGAACCTTGGACTATCGAAAAAATGGGATTTTTTTATTTGAAAAAATAAAATAGGGAGGCAAGTTGAACACGAAATACTTACATCTAACATTCAATTGATATTATTGAAACAAATATATATCAAAAATTACAACGAAATTGTAATTAATTCAAATAAAAATTATTAAACTCGATTGAAATTCCTTCTCTCGATATGCATATTATAATATATTGAAAAAATATGGAGTAATATCGTAAAATAGAAAATCTATTTTAATTTATTTTATCTGGAAACAAAAATAATCAATGTATTTGTATTGAATCGATGACTGAGAAACACAGATAGAATATCTGATGCGTTTCTCGTCTCGATCAATGTCTGTCGCGCGAAATAAAAGTCTTATCGTATCGAATTTATCGCGAATCATGTTCGTTCGTGCCAAGAAATTTTCTTACTGATTTCTGCAAATGATGTTAACATAGTGGAATAAAACTTTATAATATACTAAGCAAACGTGTGATTTCAATTTCATGAGAATCATTAATTCTATAACTATGAGCTAAAATTCGTGATGCAAAAGATGAAAATCAAGAACAATAAAATTATGCATTAAAGATTTCGAATTTTCTTTTTTTTTTGAAAAAGTTAAATTTGAAGATTTATCAAATACATTCGTTCATAATATTTGTATGAATAAAAAATTATATTTTTTTTATATAAATTCCTCCATCCAATTCTCTGCTTAAAATATTGGTTACACATAATTGGTCAATCAGTGGACAGCTATCAAACATGTTGATCATTGGACACAGTTAAACAGTCAACAATCAAGCAAATACACGAGTTGACAAATAATCAGATACGCGAATACCTGATCAATAATACGCATAAGAATTAAAAATTGAAATATAATTCAAAACATCGAGTTATTGATCATGTAAAACGACCACTGTATATTTATACATTAATTTTATTTACCAATCAAAAAAAAAAAAAAGAATGCAATATCGTTGCAATTTTTCAACGAAAAGATACTGTGCAATTCGATACAAGATTCAATACGTATTTCGTTATATTTCTAACGATAGAATACACATGAGATTGCACTTTCCGCTGAAGAGAATGTAACGCAGATGAGCAACGCGATGCCATGCAATTCGGCAGATTAATATTTCTAACTCTAATACAACGCATACGAGAGTGCACGTGATCCTACTACTGGGAATACAAAGACACTGGATCGTGCTTACAGTGTCTCCTAGACAAAACCGCAACGTAGCATCGTTCGTCTGCATCAAAGCTTATTGTCTCAAATTCATTATGAACCGTCGCGTTTATTTATGCCAAGAAAGCTCGTGAACACGTTTCACGTTCCACGAATTTTAGCAAATAGATACGTTCAGAGATAAAAAGGGCTTCAATTTTCTAAAGCTGAAATGTCACACGTAATGTTGAAGATAACTATTCTGCATCGTTTCAAGTTTGAATTTGCGATTTCATTTGTTTAAAAAATCGTAAAGAAATCTCATAGACGATTACGTTTGTAATAAAATTGTATTATAAATATTAATTTATTAAAATCTAATTTTGTGTTGATATTTCATTTGTAATATTTTTTTTTTCCTTTAGGATTAATAATGTTACAAGATTCTAAAAAAAGAATTATTGTTTCACTTATTGCAATCATGACATAATTAAATATTTCCAAAAATTTTTTTGAATTAATAAAAGAAAAATCATTATTATATTATACATTTTAACGATAGAATTCTAATAAATAATTTTATTATTTTACTTTTAAAAATTAGCATTCTCTTCTGAAAACGTCCTGGAAACGTCACTATTCTATTTGATTACGATCTCTAAGCTCCGTTGTAACCAAGTCGAAGAAGTAATATTGTTCGATTGGCGGTGACGTGGAACGATGGCGATTGAATCGTTTCATTAAGCAGAGTGAATTCAACTAGTCTCTAGTCTTCAATTGGCGGTCTTATGGAAATTGAATTGTATTAGAGAGATAATGGAATCTTGAGAGGAAAGTTCAGTGTCTCGAGTTTATCGATGAAGTTATGCGATACGGAGTTGACTCCATTATATTCCGAGTATAATCTACGCGGAAGTGTAAAATTTTTATTGCTAAAGCGTGCCAAAGTTTATTTCGAATGTTAATAAAATTCGAGACGGTGAAATATTTTGCGGTATCCTAACTTCTTAACCACGATTTCCTGATAAAGTTTGGGAACAGAAGAACACGAAATCGATGGAGAATAAAGTCAATACGCGATGGTGTAAGGATATTAAATTTTGGTAAATTTGTTCAGGCAACGAGCACGCGAATCGTGGGCGGCATATGGTGGTTTTTCACCTTGATCATCATATCCTCGTACACGGCCAACCTGGCGGCGTTTCTTACCGTGGAAAGGATGATAACTCCTATCGAAAATGCGGAGGATCTCGCCAGTCAAACAGACATCGCGTATGGCACCCTGGATAGCGGAAGTACCATGACCTTTTTCAGGGTAATCTTTTGTTTGCTTGAAAAATAATAATTTTTTTTTTTTTAACCTATAATTTAACATAATTATTTGGAAATAAAGTATTTGATATTTGAACACGATAGGATATCGATAAATGAAAAATAAAATTAAAGGAAATATGTACGCGCGTTTATGAATGTAAAACAAATCAAGTAATTGATTGTTAAATTTTACATTACAATTTTACTTCGTACAAATACTACAAAAAAAAACTATGAATTTTCTATAAAATCCATAAAATCGAATTAATTAAACCTAATAAACAAGATCGATTACATAAAAAGTTAACTTCAAGCGAAAAATTCAAGATAATTTTTAAATCAATTTAAAACTCACGCCATATTATTAGTAAGATCATTATAAACAATTCTTTTTCAGAAATAAATATATATACCACGATAATTTACTTTAAACCTCGCTTAAATCCTATTAAAATTACGAAAACTTTGAATCGCTCTAATTCCGAAGATAATGACTTCTGGTCAACGAGTGAACGATCATTAGAAGCGCAGAATATTGCCCTTTAAAATGCTTGTTCATTTATTCCGATACGACTTCCCGTTCCCAAGATATCATCGTGTAAAGAGAAAGTAATTTTTAATCATTTACCTAAAATATGATTAAATTCTATTAAAATTAGCAAAACTTTGAATCGCTCTAATTCCGAAGATAATGACTTCCGGTCAACGGGTGAACGATCATTAGAAGCGCGGAATCTTCCCCTTTAAAACGCTTTTTTATTTATCTCGATATGACTTCCGGTTCCCGAGATATCATCGTGTAAAGAGAAGAGTAATTTTTAATATCCCTCCTTGTCGCTTACTCGGACCTCTCGCTCGTACCTCGTGTCGCTGACCTATCCCAAACTGCAGACAAGTGGCAGACGCGATTCCTGGAAGGACGTAGTACGCATTTCCAGGAAAAAATGTAGGTCAGGGATCCATTCATAACTTCTGCATTGTGTCCAACGCTATGGAGACTTTAAATCCTTATATCTCGGCAACCAATTGAGATATCGAGATAAATCAAAAAGGGATTTTAATGGTATGGTTTTCTCTATTTCTTGAGTGGATTTTGATCATAAAATTTTTACATTTTTCATCTGAAAATTCGAAGTCTCATTTGAAATTTTGCATGATTGGAATGGTTTAATATTTGACGTAAAGTACATACAAACTTAAATTTATTTAATTTCACTCACCTTTTATATTTGTATAGTACAAATAATAAATATGTAAAATAAAATTATAATATAAATATTATTTTAATATATCGCAATATACTTACATTAATATATAAAACTATACAATCATTTTATGCAAAGAAAAATATTGAAAAAATATTGAAGGTTATGATATGTATGTGTGCTAAAATAGTGTTCCCTTTTCAACTTACCTTATATGGAAAAAGTTTTTTTAACAATATCAAAAGAGATCCAAAAATAAATTAAGAAACACTAATTTTCCTTTGATAATATAAAGTAATAACGCGAATAATCCTTAGGATTCGATGATCGAGACGTACAAGAAGATGTGGCGATTCATGGAGAATAAGAAGCCATCAGTATTCGTGCCCACTTACGAGGAAGGGATCCAGAGGGTTCTTCAAGGTGATTACGCTTTCTTAATGGAATCCACTATGCTGGATTACATCGTGCAAAGGGATTGCAATCTAACGCAAATCGGTGGACTTCTGGATAGCAAAGGATACGGGATTGCCACGCCTATGGGTAAAATATATCTTCCTCTATTTCTACAATCTCTGATGTTTTAACATTCGCTTCTCTTGTAGGTTCTCCTTGGCGTGACAAGATATCTCTGGCGATTCTAGAACTCCAAGAGAAGGGAGAGATTCAGATGTTGTATGACAAATGGTGGAAGAGTCCCGGTGACACTTGCATGAGAACGGAGAAAGGGAAGGAGAGCAAAGCGAATTCCTTGGGGGTAGACAATATAGGTAATCCTAGGAAAATATATTTCCAAAATTTCATAATTTATATTCCATATTGCTTGAATATAATTTCTATTCAACACATCCAATTTTTTCTTTCTTTGTTTCGACCGTTTGTCGCGACCCACTTCACACAAATCGCGTCGAACCTCTTCGACCAGCGAGAAATCCAACAAAAAGAAGTCCTGTTCGGGATCAGGGCTAATGAATTTTTATATTTGCCTAAAGTTCACCTTCTTGTGTTGCTTTTTAGGCGGAGTATTCGTTGTACTACTGTGCGGACTGGCGTTCGCCGTGGTGATCGCAATTTTCGAGTTCTGCTATAATACCAGAAGGTCGCCACCGGAACAGGTAAGTATTTCATCGAAAAACCACTTCCCGATAGAGTCAAAGATTTAATCCTTAATCAACTGATAACCAGATTTTAAATAATGTAAACATATACGAGAAGACTTTGTGGTTGTTGTTCTCAAACTGATAAACGAAAGAGTATTAAGAAAAAAAAAAAAAAAAAAAAGAGAGAAGATAGTGGAAATTTTTACATTCAGTGAGAATAATGCATAGCGAAGAGTCAGTTGTTAAGGATTAAAGAAAAAAAAAAAAGATGGAAAAGAAAAAAGGAGGAGTAAATATTGTTGCACAAGACACTTATTTGCACGTGACAGTAGAATATTTTTCTAATGATTTGTCGCGAATCGTATCGGCAAGGATTCGAGAACAGATCGTGGGAAAAAAGAAACTTTTTTCCAGGCATTGCCACCATCAGCTTAGGATTGCATGTATTTTTGTCACTTTTGTGTTCCATTTTGTGGCCCACCGTGGATTTTTCCGCGAAGCAGCATGAACTCATCCTTCACTGAAGCATGCCAACCAACTGCGAATGCACGAAGCTCAGTTGACAACCAAGGTCCGTTTTTTTTCTCTCTCTCTCTCTTTCTCTCAAATTTCGTTGTCTCGCATAATTCGATTCTACTCGTTCACTTTTTCAACGTTTGCTTGTAGTTGCACGTAATTGGTATCTCGTATCCTATACAGAGTGTGAAAAAGAACTTTTCGATACGCTTTGATTACGATACCTTTTTTTTTTTTTTTTTTTTTTNTTTTTTTTTTTTTTTTTGATTTATTTCTAAGTCACAGCAAGCAGAAGGAGGACCCAATTACTGAACAATCATGTATATATATATATATTTTTTTTTGAAATGAATGTACCTTTTTTCCTTTCGTATATATTTATTTTTTAATTTTTGGGGAGATTTTTAGAATGCAATGAAGATTCTGTTTCATATTTAATTGAATAATACTTCTCTTGTTTTTCGATAATTTAGCCAGGGAAAAAATTGAAAATTACCTACAAAATTATTTCACCGAATATTCGTTAAACGGACTTTGTTTTTTATGATTTTACAAACGCAGAGAGCTCCAGTATCGATACCAATCTCTTCGGATTCTCTGCAAGGAATCTCGCAATCCATGCAACAACAGACGCAGCAACAGTCGCAACAGCAACAACAGCAACCGAATCAGCAACAGGAGTCTCTGTGCTCGGAGATGGCGCGAGAACTGTGCCGCGCGTTGCGATGCCACGCATCCTCGAGGCGGCGACGCACCTGCGAGAAATGCTCGACCCATGTGCTCGGCTATCCGCCGGACAATCCCACTGCCACCCCCCTCAATGGGATGAGATCGCAAGTTAGTAATCAAGCAGATGAATTTTTTCAAATCGTCTAAATAATTGAAATCAAAATCTTTAAATATAAAGCGTATTCATCGTAAATTTTAAACAACAAAGATAATTTTTCAAATAACTGTAAAGTGATGATCATTGAATTATGGATGTAACTTTCGAATTACCTTGAAAGAAAGTTTTTTAAATCGTTTAGAGAAAATTTCGAAATGAATTTCGTGCGTGATGTTGAATTGCATACTCGAATAAAGGCATGATTATGGAAATAAAAATTTTGAAATTGAATTAAATTCTCCCTAAATTGCAGAGAAGCAGCCTGGGTGTTCCCACAGTCGAACTGCCGCCACACGTCCACATGCATCATCACGCGCCACCATCACACGACTACGATGGAACTTAACTCATGAACCTCGTCGCACCATTGCGATCTTTTAGGATCTAACGAGCAAGAAAAAATGAACTGAAGAATAGAAGAGAAAAGAGTACAACCGAGGAATAAAGTCTCTTTTTTTTTTTTCTTTTGAACAAAAAGAAAAGAAAGAAAAGTGAATAAGAATTAGAAAGATCGACAAGAAAGTACAAAAACGCATCAAGTGGCAGCGAATCAAAAAAAAAAAAAAAAATTGAACGGATCAAATCGATCAGAGATTCGTCCTTTCCATTTTTTTTCTAGAGAACGAGGTAGTTATCCCGTCGCGGATATCACGTCGATAATCACCCAAAGAGAACGAACAATTTGCACAATTTCTGATACCGAATGCCCCGTCGTTGTTCCGCGTCGGAACACGAGCGGAGGAAAATAGTTCTCGTATTGTTATATCCACTCCCTTTTCTCACCGAAATCTCACCGAAAGAAAAAAGAAAGAAAGAAAAAAAAAATGGACTCGTTTCACTTTCTACCGTAGAAGCTGCACCGAAGACGATTGTTCGCACATTGTTTGATAATAAAATCGCGGAGCGGAGGGATCGATTGTGGAGAATAAAGAAACGAACAGATATCTATCCGAGGGAAGATAAAAATTGAAAATAATTTTTTAACAATTCTCGACAAGCTATCTATCTTTTTTTTTTTAAGCGTCCTATCTAACAAGTTTGTTTCCTCGATTCATTTGTCAAGATACAGGAAATTTTTTAATTTGTAAATCAAGTTGAAAAGATTGGATTTTCCCCGTAACAAGAATGTTATGAGATACGACGAAAACATTGAATTTTATATTTCGAAATATTAGATAGGAAATTTTAACTAAGATGGATAGCTTTTAGAGGCGTTTAATTTACATGTAGTAGCTATAAAAAGTATTTATCGCATCATTATATTTATATACCAATTAAACAGATCTAAATATATATATATATATTCTCTTCGTTTAACAATTTATTATTGAAAAATAGAAATATGTGCGAATATTTTTTCTAGCCACTATACGTATAACCTAAAACACGATTAAATTTCGATCGATCCCTGAAAAATTACCTGATGATGGAGCCTGATGTACACACCATTTTCAAATTTTTCTAACCACTTTGTACAAACCAAGATGGAGTAGGAATCTAAGTAGAAATCGAATCGAGATAAATAAAATAATCGTATTTTTTAATTAGAATATTTCTCCTTCGAGGAAAAATCGAGTTGAGAAAATGAGAAACTTGAACTTTCCTTCCATTCGCGGCCAAGATAAATTAGCGTATCCTAGATTTCAGGCACGATTCGATGCTTCCTATATTTTTCACGCGATAAAACGACGCGCGATCGATCGTAGAAATCGGAACGATCACGAAAAGGCTTCGTTTCTTCTCTTTGCCTTTTTTTGCGTGAACGAACCGCACCGTAACGAAAACGTAAACGAATTTCTTGCATACTTAATATACACACATATATATCACACACACACACACACAAACACAGATACAGATCCGTGTAAATACCGTGGCGGCACGCGCGAAAGTAGACGATCCCATTTGCGAATATTTTAAAAAAATAGAGGAGGCAAGGGAGTAATTGTTTAGCGTTAAAGGAAAACAAAAAAAAAAAGTACAACTAAGTAGACGTTTGGTGTCATTTCACGTGTGTATATGCAGATAGACGGCGAATAAATGTAAAGACAAGATGATGGACACGGAAATGATTCTTTTTCTTCAAACCTTTCCTCGTTTTGGGATTTTTTGACTTTTTAATTTTTTTTTTTTTTTAATATTTCGATTTTGTTTTGTTAGATTGATATTATATAGTAATAATAACAATAGGTTGAAAACGAATAGAATTATCATTGCGAGTATACAGGATTACAAACGATTTTACGTATTCATTTTAAAATACAATAATAAATTTATAATATAAAATTAGGAAGAAATATAATTGATATTGTGAGATTAATAATATTATTATTACGTGAAATTTTCTCGTATTCAACAAACATAATTACGCATAAATACGTTTTAAAGAGTAATTAACTATATATATGTATATATTTGCTCGTTAAAATTTTTTTTTATTTTTTTTCTTTGTTATATGTGTAAAATTAAAGTATAATCAAAGTATTTTTTTTTTTTTTTTTAAATGACGAACGTGTTAGAGAGAAATTAAAACTAAAAATTTTACAAAAATTATATTTTGGATATTAAATTTAAAAGATAATTTAATTCACACAAATCTAATTTCTTCGTTCCATCCCGATGAACATTATAAGTGAATAAAAATTTGATTGATCATGTACACTTTCTCTTTTTTTTTTCTTTTTTTTTTTTTTATATAACATCATTTATTAAGGGATAAAATAAATGACAAATAACATATCACTTATATGAAACTATAACATTTCTTAGTGTTCATCATTCGTTATGATATAAAAGAAATCACATCACATACGACCCTCCACATACTTAACACTTTCACAGCTAGTTGTCAGCTCGATTCGCAGTACCATCTCTCATCCCTCCTTCTCTTTTTTCCTTTTCTTCGAAATTTTCGAAATCTTTTAACAATATCTTTTCAATCAAAACATCAAAATAGATTTGTATTACATTGACGGAAGCTAAAGAAATCTCGAAACGCTCTTTTTATCCTCGAAATAATTCCATCGTGAGCCTCGAAGCGAGGAATTTAGGCGACTCACGCCACGGTCTATGATAAGATTAGGCGTCGACCGCGTCGCTTAATCGAATCAACGTGACTGTGATGTTACAGGCGGAGTCGCGCGATTGGAATTCTCGCGAGTTTTTCTTTGGGGATTTGAGGAAGAATCTTTGTATTCGAGCGAGCTATAAAAGATTAAAAGAAGATAAAAAGAAGAAACGAAGAAAAAATATATATATATATAAATGAAATATCGAAAATAGGAGTTACGGCAGATTCGGGCGGATTCGAGCTGACACACAAGCGTGCCTACTTCTCTCGACGACGATACAATAATAATAATATAACCGACTGAATCCATTTGGAAGGGTCTAGTCAAATCACTTGTAATTATCACACGATCATACTCGACACGGTGGCATGTAAATGTTGTTCCATTATTTTTCTTTTTTTTTAATATTTTTTTTTATTTATTTATTTTTTTTTTATTTTCTTTTTATACGATTTTCACCTTTTTCTATTGTAATATGCATGTTTATTTTATTTTTATTATTACTTTTTTTTTGTGACTTTCGGAGGTGGCTCGAGCTCGCAATGCGAACACGCGATTTGATGAATGGGTAGATTTTCCCGAAAAATACACGTTCTCTCTATATAAGATGTGTGTGAGTGTGTTTGAGTGTGTGAGCCTGTCGATCTATCGTCGAAATTTTAAGAAAAAAAAAAAAAAAAAAAAAAAAAAAAAAAAAAAAGGAAAAAAAAGAGAATGAAACGAAATAAAATAATTATTATTATTAAAATTAATTATTAAATAATTAAGAAGAAAGCAAGGAAGCGATACACATATAACGCGTGTTATGTATGTATGTGGTGTTGTATCTAATCTTGCAAATACCTCGCTCTTACTTTTCGATCGAATACTCTCCGAGTCTTTATTTTTTTTTTTTTTCATTTTTCTCTTTTCCTCGTCCACCTCCACAATTTTTTTTTATTTTATCATTCTTTGCGCTGTCTTTTTTTTTTTTTTCCCTTTTTAAATCGAGGCGTCAAACTTCTAAATCCCATTCTTGTGACGCGATCCTCTCGCCGTTCCTTATTTTAAAATAAAACGCGTAAAACCGGGGAAACCGAAAAAACTATTTCGAGTCTCCATCCAGGTTTCCTTAGCTTAAAATAAAAAATAGTAGAGAAATAAATGGTAAAAATACACGCCGCCGTCATATTGGCGAGAGAGAATCGCGCCAAAAGATCGGAGAGGGAGAAATAAAAAGAAAATTATCAATGAAGATCGTTATCTCCTCGCCCAACCTTCTTCCTTCTCCCCATTTCTCGCTAATAAAACGACAATTTCCTTCTTTCTCTCTAAATCTAACAAGCGTGGAGCTTCGTTTCTCGCTCCTCTCTTTCTCTCTCTCTCTTTCTCTCTCTNCTCTCTCTCTCTCTCTCTCTCTCTCTCTCTCTCTCTCTCTTTCTCTCCCCCCAAACTATTAGAATGCTTATTTACTTCATGAGATCATTACGGACGTCGATTCGTGCCGCGAACATCGCAAAACTCTTTTAATTCCTCTCATATCGCCTCGAGGCGTTCTCTCCGTCGAGTTCTCTCCGCTTTTTTTTTTTTTTTTTTTTTTTTACGATTCACAAATATTTTTGTTTTTACAATTTATAAACGAGTTGAATGTAAACGAGCTACTATGCGAAGAAAGAGAGAAAGAGAAAGGCGGGCAAATAAGAAGAAACAAGAGAGAAATATATATATATATATATAAATGTATATAAAGAAAGATGGAATGGAGAAGAAAGTGAGGTATTTAGCTCAAAGACGAATCTTTCTTTTTTACTTTCAAAAGACGGTGAATAAAATACGATGAGGAATACGATTTTTCGATGAAAATTAGTGTACAAAAAAAACGGATGATGATCGAATAAAAAGGTTGCCTCGACAAGCCTCGATAGCGAAAAAATTATCTTTGGTCAGAGAGATCTATCCCTTTCCTTTGCTTTTTTTCAAAATTTTCCTCGCTTCTTTCTTAACCGTTTACACGCCGTGTCGACGCGCTGAATCGATAAAAAATAAAAGGAATACATTAAATATTATATACATATATGCGCGTTTAAATAATTTTCTTTTTTAAATATCGCATTATAAAAAAACATTATTAAATACGAACACAATTCTCGACAAACGTTCGAGAAGGAATACATATCGAATTTTCCCTGTTTTTCTTCTGAAATATGCAAAACCGAGAAGAAGAGAAAGAACCGAAAGTTATTCGCGTCAAGAGTAGCGGCTCTGTAAACGATTAATCTCTCTCTGCGTTCTCTAATCATTCACAGGCAATCCATTGTGTATATATATATATCTGTGTGTACGCTATGTGTATATCACGTGTGTTCGATCATTACGTGAAAGAAAAGAATAATTAATCGAAGGGGATAAAGAGAAAAGTACGGAAGAATGCGGTGAAGACAAGGAGAAAAAAATGAAAAAGAAGAGAAAGAGAGAGAAAGAGAATTGTAGAGATAAATGAATCGTCAAAGAAACGTTGAATACTGTAATAGAGTAACTCGTCATTTTCCCTCGTGGTTTCGTTCGCTCGTGTGCTACGGCATGACTAATCAAACGACTTCTTTTTTTTTTTCTTTTTGTAGATTTATAAGAATCTATCGAATCTTAAAGATTTCTTACAGAGATTGTCACCCCTCAAGAAATATTTCGATATTCGTTAAATGAAACATTGAGGTGTACACATCTTGAAAATTATTTGACAATTTCTCTAAAAAAAATCTTCTCGAAACGATGAACGAAGAATAACGTATACAGCGAAGAACGAACGAAGAAAACGCTCGATGGCGCCATCTCTAATCCCGTCTACGTCTAAAAGATCGTTTCTAAAAAACGATCGACGCTCGCGAGACTCGCTCTTTGATTAAACTTTTCAAGTGATATGTGGGGACGTTGTTGAAAACGCGTCGCTGTTGGTCGAAAAGTCTAAAGGTGTGTGTGTGTGTGTGTGTGTGTGTGTGTGTGTGTGTGTGTGTGTGTGTGTGTGTGTGCTTGTTCGCTGCTTCAATCGTAATTAATTAATTTCTCTTAATACCGTCGGATCCAGCTGTCCTCCTCCACCTCTTTTCCTCTCTCGATCGCGAATCGGTCGCTGCACAACTCCACGAGATTTACAAAGAAAAAAAAAATTTGTTTCCCTTAAACGAGCGTTTAAATCTACAGATTGGACAGATATCGAATCGATTTCGCGTTAACTTCTCGGCCAATATGCGATCGAGAGAAACATGCGACCAACACTCTTCCATAGAAACGCAATTACTCCGAATCATATATACGATAATTTTCAGAGCGCGCATATACACAATTACATAATTAAAGAGACACCGTTAATTTACAAACGCTACACGTATATCTCAGATGTTTTTTTCTTTTTTTTTTCTTTTTTTTTTTTTTATCTTTTTGTCGTTTTGCTCTCCCTTCTTGCTCTCTTTCGTGCAAATATCGATAATACAATCACGCGCGCTCCACTCCTCTCTCTTTTTTTTTTCGTAAAACGTATAGACGCTTTCGTATGTACGCATGCGTACATACAAATATATATATATGTATATATATAATATTCATATATATAATATATATCAGCCCTTTTTTTTTGTTTCTCATCTCGATAATGCATATATGTGTTATACATCTATTTTATATATATATAATATGCGATCACAGACACGTGTAATTCGCGTGTATAGAGTTTGCTTATTTCTTTTTCCATTCTACTTCATTTTTTTTTTTTTCTTTTTGTGCCACACGTTCTCTTCCGTGTATACCTTAACGACTTAATATGGATTTGATTTGTTTAAACAGCCTCTCTGTCCTTCTTCTCGCACATTAATGCCGCGCGTACGTTCTAATATTTTTTTTTTTTTTTCTAACCATTTTTTGATGATCAGAAGGGGCGAACATATTTATTCTTATTAAATGTTTCTCTTGTTCTCTTCGCTTTGTCTTCTTTTCCTACGAGCTTCCTACGTCGTTATGATAAAACAACGTTACGCGAAAGGCATGAAAATTCGTTGATAAAACGCACGCGCGTAAACGGACAATCGTTTCGAGTCTTCGTTCTCTTATTTCTTTTTTTTTTTTTTTTATTTGTTTGTTCACGATCGTTCGCCCCTTCGCTTGGTCCATGCCATTTATTTCTTTCTTTTACGTCGTTTAAAAATCGATTCGACTCGCGAACGCTGTACCATCGTTATACCAAAAAGATTGAACGCGCGACCACGTGAGCAAGTTTAGCCGCACGTTTTAAGCTCGTCGAAAGACGCCTGGCCTTCGGACAAAAAGGGACGAAGAAATTTTGTTTGAAATGTTTGGTACAGCGCGCGCGACTCACGCGCCTCCTACTATGTACTTGTTTTCTCCCTCTTTATCTTCTTTTTCTTCTTCTTCATCTTCTTCGCTCGATTTTTCGCTCGAGAATGATACATTGTCGCAATATTTCTGGGTTGGTGACAGTAGCGCCATGATCCATCGTAAATAAACACAGCCGATAGGCATTGCTTGTCTCTGCGCATGCGCGCATCCCAGCGGCCCGCCAAACTGCGACGATTTGAAATTAACCGCGCCTCGGGGCCGCACATGCGCTCGCGCGCAGATCGTCCTACGATCTAAAGACTTCGTTTTTATCACACCTGTGCTTCTCGACACACACGAATACGACGAAAACGAAGGTACACTTTTTTGTCATTTTTTTTTTTTTTTTTTTTTTTTTTATATTATAGCTTTCTCGTTATACGATAGTCAATGAAATTAAACGAGGTTAAAACATATATAATATGTACAGCGCGAAACGCGGCCATAGCGCGAAAGACAAACTGTTCCTTTTCCTTTCTTTCTTTTTTTTTTTTTTTTCTTTTTTTTCCTTCCATTTGCATTCTCGCTTCTCCTCGCCGCATTTCATCCTCGTCTCTCGCACGTGTCGCGCTGTCTGACCGGACAAATCGGACGAGGACGGCGATGAACGACGAGACCCGTTCGACAATTTGGCCATTCCCATAATTTGAAACATAGTGTACTAATACATTTCTTAATTTATCCTTACGATTAATTGCAGTGCCGTATCAGCAAATCGTCTCGATATACAAAGTACCGCGAAGAAAGACGGACACCCGCACTTCTCTCCCTTTCCCCTTTATCCCAAACTTCATGTTTCGCCCTCTAAACGCGTTAGTTAGTAATAAAACATAGAAAAAGGAAAATGAAACATAGAAAAAGGCGCATAAAAAAAAAAAGGAGGAATCGCGCACATACTGCAATAATCACTATATCTTCTATGGTACACGTGTGCGAGTGTTGTAAAACGGAAAGCGGGAAGGTACATCGTCGAAAAGCGTCTAGATATTTCCAACTCTATCAAAAGATTGCTATGGTCGGGGTAAGGGGTAAAAGCTTCAACAGATCTGAAACGATATAACGAAACGCGCAAATAACAATCTACTACACAAGATATTCTTCGCGAACATAGAAAAATACGAGTGTCTATTTACAAAACAAATGATAAACCTTTCTCTCTCTCTTTCTCTCTCTCTCTCTCTCTCTCTCTCTTTCTCTCCTCTTCTGTGCTTGTCTGTTCAATGTTTCGGTTTCTCTTTTTTTCTCCCAGGTATCCTCTTCTCTCCACCCCAGATCAGGGGTTTTCAAAAAATTCGAAAAGTAAACCGTGCGGAAAAAAAAAAGCGCATCCGCGTTCCCGGAAGTAGAAACGGTTGCGCGCCAAATACAATAAGACAGCTGTCGAATGATGCGCCTCGAACGATCCATCAGAGACGAAACCATCGATAGCCTACCATCGATTCAAGGATGGGTGATAATTATTCTTTTTTTTTTTTTTTCTTGTTGCCGTGATCGATCAACATTCGTCGGTGTATATACGACGCATATCGCGTCTAATTTTTCTCTCTTCTTCCACGCGTCCCGCGATTTTCCCTCTCGTTTCGATTGCTTCTTCCAGATTCAGCACTGACTCATCAAAGAATTCTCGGTCGTTTAAAGTTACGAGCAAACGGCGGACACCCTGCAAACGATCTTTCACAATGGACAACTTGGGCCGCTTTTCCCCTCTCTTTCTCTATACGTGTGTGTGTGTGTGTGTGTGTGTATGCGTTTGTACGTGTTTGTTTTGTTGTACATACGCGTGTGTACGTGTGAGTATACATCATAACTTGAGCTCCTCTCTCCTCTTATATGGATGGATAAAGATAATTGTGTGTAGATGATGGGTACGTGTGGTGAAGATAGATTCTTTTAATATACTGAATATATGAGAATCGGTGTCGCGTTCGCTCGTTCCTTTCTGTGCCGTGTGCAGAATCCGCAAAGACGACTCGCGAATATCCGTGGCGCGAGTTACACGATAAAATAAACCGACGACAAACTGACAGACAGCAAGTAGACGAAGGAGCTTAGGCGACGATGCTTCGCTTAGGTCATATATCGCATCACGGCGCGAAGCGCGTACAATAGCTCGGCTTGCATTCGTGCCTCCAGGATCATCAGGTTCACGTGGACCTGAAAGTGAAAGGATTGATTATGTAGAGTGATGATTTATGTATTTTTGTGGCACGACAAGAGAATCTTGTAATACCTTTTATTTTTCTCGTTTTAATTAATTATCTTTAAGAGAATTTGACAAATTATGCAAAATGTTTATCAAAATAATACGTATATAGGAAGAGAAAAGTTAAAATGAATATTTCATCGATCTTCCTTTTATATATATATATATATAACTTGAAATATTTTTTTCAAGTTTTATTCTTCTAATGAAAAAAATCTATATTTAATAACTAAACTATGGATGTTTATGCAAATTCGTATTTTTATGGATGCAGCTAAGAAACTTGATTCATCTGTTAAATAATACAATACGTACACTCCCGTCCATAAATCCTCAGACAATCAACAATGTTTCTGAATATAGACAAATGAAAATTATGATTGTAATGTTTTTTCAATAATATTAACATAAATTTACTTTCATTTTAAGCATCAAACAATAATGACACTTATTATTAAAATATTATTAAAATATGTGAATAGATTAATTCACAAATTGATACCTCAAAATAATTTTTGTCCATCACAAAAATATAATTTAATCTACTATGAATGCTTCAACTTCTTATTAAATTTTACTATATTAAAGAAAAAAATCGAATCGATACGAAACCTGGTATTAAAACATTTACAACAATTAATTCACGAATTTTTTTAAATTATTAATTTAAAATCAATTAACAAATCCCCAATGATTCATAGACGAGTGTGTCACCATACTCGATATATTTTTTTTTATATTTCTAGAACTGCATTCCATATATTCCTACGTAATTAAATTTTCCCCCATATCCATAAACATTCTATAATCTATAATCCGGCAAAGACGCGATAAAATCGAACGAAATCCCCCGGTTTTGACCCGTGAAATAGCAACATGTGAAATATGTACATAACACTCGAAGCAGGGAAATCATATGTAAATAGCATTATGCATATCTCCTTACGTAAACCTGAGTCGGCTCAAAATCGACAAACATTTATACACACGCGGTGATAAACAGGCACGTGGTTAAGGCTACCAACCTTCTCGCTGTGCTTGAATTCCCTCATCACGCGATCGTAATCCCTTTTGGTCACGCGTTCAGGGTAACAAACGGCGCTCTTGATGAACGTCTTCAGACTGCGCTCGAGGAGCTGGTTAACCTCGTTGTAATCGTAATCGTCGTGCCTGATACCGAACATGCACTGAATGTAATTCCAGATCGCCCGTCTGAAACGGGACGTGTCCACCTTGCTGTGCGTGCCCATCGTGTAATAGGTGAGATTGTACGCCGTTTTGAATTTGTCGTCGAGCAGATTACCGACGTCGTTGTAGAGACGGTTCACCAATGAATAACCATGATCGTCCCATGAGTAGTCTTGCACGCGGAACGTGGGTATGTCGCTCAATTGGCCACGCTGAAACAAAAAATTAATTCATTGGTTAGAGAAAGAATTAGAAGATTAGAAGGAAAGATTAGAGGAGGTTGCAGGAGAATCGTTTAAAATTTGTTGAGTTTGGGGATGCATATGTGATATATGTGGTTAAATATATATATAAATATATATTTTAAATATAAATATATATTTTAAATTGAGAACAGGAGAATGATAAATTTTGTTGCTTTTTACGATTTGGAACTTCGAAAGGCTAGGTTCGTTGATGAAATAGAGTTCTTCTTTAAGGATGAGAGGTATTCGATATGAACTTTGAAACTTTCGAAATGAAGAATAATTTGTTAAAATATTACTTCTTGGCGAAATAAATAAATAATTAATGATGGGATATTCGAAACTTTCTTGGAAAAATATATTCTCTTTTTTAATTTTGAATTCGAGAATTTGAATTTGATTTGGACAAAGTTTCGTATTCACAAGATTCACAAATCTATAGATATGCTTTTTACTTATCTCTATCTTAACAATATAATTTTTGAGAAAGCACTTGCAAGTTCTTGACTATTAATTTTCAAACATCCAAATGTTTATGCAAGATTTAAGTATTGTTGAACCGCAGAGGAAATGAGATTCCTTATTTTCTTCATACGCGAAAATTCGAGCGTTTAGATTAATCGATTGCGATTGTGTATATATATATATATATATATATATATACGTGTTATAAATATTCATAGGATCAGTCGATGGAAATTGTAATCGAATCGAAATTAAATATTCGTTGTCGAGGTTCGCGCGTCGCCTTGAAAACGCACTTTCGAATTCAGCTTCGCGAATTATGATACGATAGATACCACGATGTTGATTCTGAGCTGTGTTATGAAACGAATATAGTGTATCGAAATAACCTCGGTCTTAACGCCGACAATTTTTTTTTTTTTTTGCATTTTTTTCCATAGTCATTTACACGCTATCTTGTCTGCAATTTTTTTTATAAAATTTATTATATCTAGTAATAACGTAATATATGCAATAACACAAGTAACCCAAGGAACTGGTAAACATTTAATTCTAAACACTATTAGATGTTTGAAATGTGGTAAAATATGCAAAAACATAAAAAAATGCAATGAAAAGAATGAAAAATGACTAAATAGACTTTGCAGACTTAGATTTCCATTTGTCAATCTGTCTGTATAATCGCAAGCAGGTTTTCCTCATTCTAATAAATTTTTTGCGTGGATCATTAATAATATTAATTACGTGATAATCGAATTATAATATATTGTATAATCATATGTAATAAAGGTATAAACTTAGTTAAGAACCATAATTAAAAATTAAACTCGAATAACTAGAAAATTCTTCTTCAAACTTTATATTACGCAACATCCAACCAATTAATATAATCATATTTAAATTTATATTTTTAAAAAATTGAATTTAAATTCGATTCCTATTTTAATTAAAGCTAAGAATTACATCAATCTCCCTTCTTTTCATCTACAATTATATATTTTATTAAAAACTTAAATTCGAATTTTTATCAAAATTAAAAATTACATTTGTTACACACTACTAAACAATAGATATCTTTTATACCTTCTTTTCATCGATTACTATATTTGAACGATTGTTCAGGAATACCGTGTATTTATTGATGGTAATAAATGGTCCATTTCAATTATCACATTAATTATATTATGAATGTATAAAAACACTTACCTTGGCGAAATCCTGATAGATGAAGGTAGGATCTTCGATGAAATGACCGATGTCAGAGTCGAGGACCGAACTACTCCTCTGAGGCGCGGCTGCCAACTCGGCGGACTGGGTCTCCACGGTCTCGAATCTCTTCGACAGTTCCTCTTGCGTGATCTGGTACGACTCCGATTTCTCGGAAAGGCGTTTCATACGTTCCATGAGCGCCTCCACGCCGACCTCCTGTTCACCTACTATGCTCGGCGAGGATGGCGGCGATGGCATGTTTTCTGCAAAGATTCGAATAAATGTCCCCCTTCGTTCTTAATCTCCGATTGAACGACACGTTGAAAGTAGCGATTAAGTGTTGAAAATGTTTTGAGTTGGAAGCCACTTATCTTGCTTAAATTAAAAGAGAGAGAGAGAGAGAGAGAGAGAGAGAGAGAGAGAGAGAATGGAAGGAGAGATAAAAACTAAATAAAAGTGATTTGTAACGTGGATCGACGTTATAAATACTATTTTGCTATTACTATTTTACAATTCAAAGCTATAAAATGTTAATAATATACGGTAGAATATCGTTAATGAGATTCGAAAAGAGAAAAGAAAAAAAAAAAAAAAAGAAAAAAGAAATCTCCTCGAGATTCGATTTGAATTATGTTATAAGGGATTAGATGAATTTAAAACGTGACCGACTTACCAGTCTTGCCGTCGCCATTGGGGATCTTCTTGGGACTACTGGAAAGTTTGTCTTTGGCAGTTGGTACGTTATTGCTATTATCCTGGACGTTCTCTTTGTAATGGTGACCGGCTACGTTGTCCAGCTCTTCGTTAATACCGCAGGAAAAGACGAAAGACGAAAGGGAGTGGAAGTGGGCCAGAAGAACTATCGCGTGAACGACCTCGGCCAAGGACCAACTGTCCGCGCCTTTGGTCAACTTCTGCAAAATCAAAATCGATCCATTACGCGTCTCTTTCCTTCTTTTTTTTTTTTTTTTNTTTTTTTTTTTTTTTCGTAACATTTAACCAATGGCAATTTAACGACAAATTTATTTTACACGTAAGATAATTATAAATCAAATTATATAAAAATATACGATCAATTGTGTGTTATTAAGACTTTTAACGATTGCAAAAACATACATAAATTATTATAATTCAAATTACGTAATGAATGTAAATAAGTGTGTGTAATTCATCATTAATTTTGACCAAAAAAAGAAAAAAGAATACCTGTATGTTTTTAATAATTGCAAAAGATTAAAAGAACATTGTGGAACATTGATCAAATTGAAGAAATTTAATTCAACCTTACCTCTATGTGCGTTTTGTTCAGCAACCACGGCCTATGAGCTAAAATCTTGTTAATCTCATAGAGATCTTGTAGTTTTCCCGGGATCGACTTCAGACCACGAAGCCAAGATGGATCACCGCCTTGGAGGATGAACTCTCCTTTCTGCAGGTTTATTAAATAGCTGCATTGATGTCTACCAGCAGCCTGCAAACAAAATGTATTATATGTTATTTGCTATTCCGTTTTGATTAAATAAAACTGGAAGGGATTCAAATTAAACAATTACAAATTCAAAAAGTTTCAAAATTTGCATAATCTAATATATTAATTTGAATCTGTATATATAGTGTGAACTGTAATATAATCCATTATCCAAGCGAGACTGTTAATAATTTTTATAAGAAATGAAGAAAGTGCATTCTGTAAAATTTTATACAAATTTTGCAATAAATCTTCCAAAAGTATTGTCTTAAATACACAACTTAAATACACAATCGATATCCGTGATATGCATCGTACGTGAAAGAGATATGACCGATAACATTCTCTTTTTTCGCATTTCGATTAAAATCACGCGTTCTCCAAAGAAGAAACTCATCAAGCTCAACGGCTGAAAAGAATGCTCGAAGGCAAAGTCTCGAGCAAACATAGTAGTATACCGTGTGCCTAACTTCAGAGCAGATCCCGAAAGAAAGAGTCCTCGAGCGTGGAGACAGAAGAATCAATGAAGAGAAAAGAAAAAAGAAAAGGAACAGAAAAAAAACTAGAAGCGATGGAGGAATGTTGGGGGAGAGACAAATTGCCAACGACGAGACGTATCGAGGCGCGAAATTGAGCAAGAGACGTATCGATCGCGTATGTTTCTCACTTTATATTGCTCTTGCACTCCTACGCGATACAGGAAGGAAGAAAAGAAGTACGGTCGAGCGACCAGATTCGTCGATTCTTCGTGTTCAAAGCCGATTCGACGCGTGAAAGTTTAGAAGAAAAACGAACTTTGTGAAAATTAAATCGCCCTTACGAGATGAGATTGGGTTCGTCGATCTTTGATAGTTGGATTCATTGTGTGGAAGTTTGGAAAAGAAACGGAGAAAGAATGAATATTGTGAGAATTAATTATGAGAAATTCAAACTTTTTCGTAAACAGTAACTTTATTCTCTATCAATTCCTCCCACATTCGCTTGTAAGAAAGCGACTCTTCAATATTTTATTCTCGAATAAATTCTCATCCTTGATACAAAATTCGTATATCTGAAATTCTTCAAAATCTTCAACATCTAAAATTAAAAAGAAAAAAAAAAGAAACAAAAAAAAAACAATATTTAAAAATTAAACAAATGAAAATAAGACAAGATTCATCCATCTCCGCGTAAATTCAATTCATAGCTCCAACGTTTGAGGCTTTTAGGAAAACAAACTTTGCAAAAATGAAATAAATCACGATTAGAGGCTGCTGGTTGGACAAGGAGTGGTTGGAAAAACAGAGGAGAAGGAGGAGAAGGCTGTTACGAGGGAAATAACGGAGTGGCGATGCGGCACGATCGGTTTCTTCTTATTGGTTTGTTTTGATCGCGGTGGAATTACATCAGAAATTCAAATGACTCGCGGGAGAGGTATTGCGAAGACGTGGAAGAATAGGTGGACGAACGTCGAGGGGAGGGGCAAGCGAAAGGCGAGATGATGAAGCGCGTAAACAAGACACGTGTTTACCATGCGGGGCCGCGGATCGATCGACTCAAGAGCCGCGATAAGCGATAAGAGAAGTCTGCAAATATCCGTCTCTCTCCGTTCCAATCGCTATGAAATTTTGTACACCTATGAAAAAAAAAAAAAAAAAAAAAATATCGAACACGAACGAACATCGAATACAATCGTGCGAGTTATCGATTAATTTAAATCGTGGGAAGTTGTTCTTCGAACAGATTTGTCTTTTTACGTGGCGTTACTTAAAAAAAAGAGACGAAATGTTTTATTGTGATTTTGACATTATGATTTTTTTCCCCTCGCTCGTTTTTATAAAGACGTTTTTTTAAAGATTCATTTAAAGATTTCTTTTTTATCTCTCATTATGCATACGATGAATTTTAATGGAGAAATGATGTGTGAAATATGTAAATTTCGACGATGATAATTTTTGTCAATATGCGCGAGAATTCTAGAATGAGAATGATATAGGCCACGTGTACTCTCGTTAAAAATTGGAATAAACGTCAAACGTGTGCAATTCCTATTTGTTTTGCTCGATACAACTTAAGAATGTTGATAAGTCGATAATCATTTTATTAATTCTCTGTTTTTTTACGTAATCTAACAGTAATCAAAACAGGAGATATACTTGAATCCATCAAAGTTAAGAAGGTTAAAAAAAAAAGTTCAAACCAAAAGAATTATATTTATATATATATGGAATATTATTTTTAGAAAATCGATTCAAATAAAAATAAAAGTTTGTATGCAAATCGATTGCTTATCAATTGAGACTTATTTATTAAATTACATAAATATGTATATTTATTATTTATAAATAATTTAACTTATATCTTAGAAGAGCAGAAATATAACGTGATAGAGTTATCTCATTTAATCTAGTCTAGCAAAATTAAATTCTTTTTTTCGATAAATTTTAATAAAATTATTCCATTGATTCTATTACATGTTTCTTGTTTACAAATTCTATCAGTTCGAAGAAAAAATCAATTATTGCTCATATATTGATTTAATTATAAAAGATAGACTTTGATCTCCTCAACGTTTCTCCACATTTCGCTCTTTTCGTTCGATAATTTCGCTCTATCTTCGAATCGAATAAAATTCGCGAATCTCGGGCCAGATTGAATGTGTTTACCGGTAGAAAAGCTGTTTTTCAGATAGCTTATCGCTTTATCATTCTTCGTGTACCAAGTGCAATCACTCTTCTCCCCTTCCATTTCTTCGAGTTCCTCTCGACAATCTCTTTTTCCTCATCAGACGTCGACTTTTTATCGCGGCTGATAACGCGTTTTCGAGTCGATCATTTTCAACTAAATGATACGTATTCTATGCATTTATTCTATTTATTGTATTCTATCGACATGTCAAATGAACTACGTAAATGCGACGCTCAATTTATTAAACGAACGACGATAATTGTCAAAATCTTCGAAATTAAACATTTCAAAACTAGATTAAAAATCTGTAAAATTAAGAAGAAGTGCTTGCGATAGTCATCCATTCTTATTATAATATTTGAACTTATAATTCATCATTATTCTATTTACTTGATTAGTTATTTAATTTTTCAATGTAACGAATAATAAATTAAACTCGATATTATTCTCGAGTCGGCGGTAAACATTCAGAAGCAAGGTAAATATGAGAAAAAAGCGTATAATTATTTTATTAATATCACATATTTAGATGCGTCGAGGTTTTTAAGCCAGTCTGAACGAGTCAGAAGTTGCACATGTCAATCGGATTACTCGTGTTATTAGTTTATTTACATATAAATCGATCGATTAAGTATAATTTCCGTTAATTGGAGATCAGGAAACTCGTTACCACTTCCGACCGATATCTCTCGAAACGAGAAATAACAACTTCGATCCGATATCCTGTTTACTTTACGCTTAATCAACCCATCCTGATTTCGATTTGTTCGAACTATAGACGAATCGTTCAACTTTGACGACCTATCGTAAATTCGTGTCGATTTGATGAATTCCACGTGAAAATCATTATATTGACGAAAACATGTGCTCCATGGTTTCGAGAATATACGTCCAGCTATATAACGTTACGAAACCCGTTGCACTTGTTCGGTTTCTTCCGATAATCTTTGGCCCAATGACCCAAGGGAACGAACGAGGAAGAGGTACATACACGACGTTGATTGGGTCCACGATAATCGCATTCCGGGTTTGTTTGTCGCGAGCAAAAATAACATTCTTAACGCATGACATTATTATTTATTATTGTTATTAATTATTACTGCCATTTATTTGACAAGCACGTCCAAGGCACGTTATAATATATATGTTTTTCATTCGTTCAACATTGTGATGCACATATTTAAATTGATTTATTTACATTTCACTTTATACGTATCGTAATCGATAATAATAGAACGAAAAAACATGATGTGGTTAATTGACGTTGATGTTATACAAACAAATAATTATACGATGTACAGCCGATCACGAAAGTGTATATTTATTATCTTGCAAGGAAATTTGTTAATTCGAGAATTCCGATATTAATAAATATCGGAATAATATAATAGATAATATAATAGATTAGACGCGTAACAATTTTCTTTTTAAACGAAATCCAATTTTTCATTACTTTTTTTAATACGTTAATAAAATGTTTTTTTTTTTTATACCAAGAGTTAAATCTCTTTAATTTGTAAAATTAAAAAATTGTTTTGGTAAATAATTCTTTTTTTTTTAATAAAATTTACATTTAACAAATGTTTAAAATTTTTTTTGATTTATCTGTGCTTTAAATCCTGTTTGTATTTGTTTGAAAAATATCGAGACTTTAATAATATTAATGCATACAACGTGATGCATATTACGAAATGATTATTTGATTTAATAATAAAACTCGTTACTCGAATTCTTATAAAGTGTACGAGCATTTTTATGACTGACTGTATTTACATATAACGTAATGAAAACTATTCAGTATTTATCTTCGACTATTTATCATTTTTCCAACAATTTTACCATGAATTCAAGGATATTATAATGGATTTCTAAACTATATTTCACAACGGAAGGTTATTATATCACGTGTCCACGATTAGAAATCATCATTGAAAATTCATCTTCCCAACTTAGATTCCACTAACATTACATTCGTGCTAATATTTTACGTAACAATTCCAAGTTTTTTTGTTCCAACACGTAATCCATTTAAACAATCTTCCCGTTCGCGTGTTCGCGTCGCTTTGTTAAACTAACCATTCCCTTAAATTAACAAGTATTAATCACACCCTTCTTCTTTTGCTTTTGGAAGAAGAAGAAGAAAAAAAACAGGATAAAAATCTTCAAGTTGGTATGAGAAATGCTTTTCCACCGTCTCTCCCAGATGGCGTTATCGCCAGATTAGAAGAAGAAGAAAAAAAAAAAGTTGCCACCATTACGGCGAATTAGATGAAGAGAAGAGAAAAACCAGCGTCGTACTCACCATAATGGCGATGAGATGCCTGTAGTCGTAAGGAAGCGGTCCGTCACCCCTCAGGATGAAATGTTGGGTGCGGAGAAAATGCTCCAAGTACGAGGGATGCGAGGCCATCACCCTGGAGACATGATCCAGCCTGTTGTTCTGGAGGAACGCATCCATCAACAGAATATGAGTCTGTAATCAAAGAAAGGGATGATTGATCAGTTTCGATTGATTAAAAATGAGGAATCGAAGTATGAAATGATTGGACAATTTGGAGGTATTATGAGATCACGTTCCATATTCATTAGTCGAGTATGGAAGATGGATCGAGTCCAAAGAGGAAATTGTTGCGAATTTATTTTGCAATATAATTCATTATTAATTGTGCTAATCGTTTAGAACGAGGGACATATTTTAGATAGATTTTGAAACTTTATTGAAACGTTTTGTCAAGATAATTCTTCTGAACAAGATCTTCTCCTCCTCCCCCCTGTATTTTTATTCTTCGATATACACTTTTGTCTACTTGATGTAATACTGGCAGTGTTGCGTCTATTGTATACATAAATATTACATATTTCGCTTTTAGATATTGGGAAATTTCTATTTATGATTAAACATTGTTGTGGCTAACCTTGAATTCGGATGTAAAATCAGAAAATAAGACAACGCAGCTATTAAATAATGACTCGAATACGTTTCGTCATCATCATAGTATATAGAGAATATACGCTTGTATATTTTTTGCGTATATATAAATAAACAAGTAGATTATCATACAAGTACCAACTTAATCTGATTTTCTCAAAAATAAAGAAAGAAGACTTCTCGACTCCCGATTATTCCTACTATTTATTCCAAATCTATTTTCGTTACACAAAGATATCCTTACACACGTTTTATCGACACGCTTTATCTTGTGAATCGACGTAAACTATGCTCGCATAATCGCATTAATGACATAATCGCGTTTGCCCCGGAATGGGCAAAAACTAGGTTACTCGAGCTTCGAAATCAAGCGGTTGGCTTGCATCACCTCTACGTATCGTCGACACGTCTTTCTGATATCACCTGAGTGATCATTTCACGTTTCACAAAAAAAGAAAAAACGAAATATTACACGTTGAAAAACCATGAAACAGTTAGAAGCAATGAAATTTCTCCGTTTCTCGAAAACGCGGAGTACAGTTATTCCATAATTAGATCTTACGAGTCGAGTAAACTCTCTCCACTATAAAGATGATTCAATACTTTTACCCTTTTCAATTAATTACAAAATAATCGTAAAAAACTTCGATCCTCGAAAAGTATTTCTTATTTAATAATAACAACGATTCGGCTTCGGGAAAATTGAAAATTTTTTCAAAGGGAAAAGGACTCTCATATCAAGTCTGATCTAATTGGAAGGGGGAAGAACGAAGTTTCATTGACGGTTTCATAAAATAAAATAATGCCTTCGAGGACGAAGCATGATCGTGCGGCGATCTCTTCGAGTTCTATTCGCCACACGGAGAGAGATACATCGAAGCCCCGTATCGATTGTTTTTCACCACGAGGCAAAAGCTGTCGGCATTCAGGCACGATCGGCGGCCGTACGAGCACGATATATTAATGCGAACAGTTGCCGACAGTTGTCGAGGGTCGACGACCCGCGTGTTCAAATTAAAACGGGAAAAGACATTTCACTCGCGAGCTTTCGTCACGCGAGGAATATCAATTTTGACCCCCGTATAGTGGATCGTCGGGCTCGGTAGAATTCTATAACCGAAGATTATCCAATCATCGTGCGCGATCGAAAATATCAAAAGAACGAACGATGTAACGAAACCTTATAATAGAGCACAAGTGTTAAGTCTTGTCAGTGGAAAAGTTTCTCGACGTGTGCCAATAGGTAGATTTAATTGTAGAATCAATCTATAATAATGTGTATATTATACACTCATCGTTGCGTCATACTAACTATAAAAATATATCAATCTATAATACGCAAACGTATATTCATAACGTTTGTTGTTGCATCATACATCGATCCACATTGTAGATTGTACATTATAGATTTGTTGGTTCTACAATTATATAGAATGATCGTAAAAATCGTGTATAAATATGGAATTATTGTAAATGATTTAAAAATAAATGATTTAAAAAAATATTCTATTTTCTATTTTTTTTATCATTAAATATATTTCCTTTTTAAACCTAAAGAAATTTTGTCCACACAAAATTTTGATTCCGACATCAATGATGGATAATTATATTTAAATCAGGTTATATTTATATATTGTACGGGTTAAAAATACCATCTTGTGCTGAAAAACAAAAAAGAGTTAATTACAGGAAAAAAAAAGAAACTTTCTCTATAACTTTGTCTCGAGTAACTTTATATCGCCTGGAATATCTCCCCTATTTTTTTATAAAATTAAATATGTTCCAGATAAAAATCGAATGATTTCAAGGGGAGTTTTACGTGTATAGAAACGTGACCTGTTATAAAATACCGAAGAAATGTATCGTTCTAATGTTGTACAGAATTAATATTGATCCCCGATAAAGATCTCGACGGATGTTGAGGACTCGCTGCCGTGTTACGAAACAGAAATGGCGCTACCGTTCGAATCGTGTTGGAGAACGGTAGACACGATTCACGTAAACCAGTCACGGGATACGAGTAAAGAGAAACGTCCAAACAGTTGAGAACTTTGCTTATGAGAATATTTGTCTAGGTAGTCGTTTTACTCGTCGTTGGAAATAACAGCTTGGAGCCATCAATTTAGTGGTTATGTTCATTAAAATTAACTGTTACGTAGACAATTAAATACCCATTAGATCTCTATATTTCACTTCGATAATTTTTATACTCTTGATATAAATATTATATACGATTATTCCGTTTGATCTTGCGATCATGCGATCGAAAAGATTTAAAGCGTGAAACAGATCGTCTCTATTTTAATTCCATTTCTGTAATAATCGTTCGTAAAAACTTAATTACAAACTATACAAGGATTTAGAAAGAAAAAAAAAGCAACTTTCGATAAGTGTATCGGTTGAACGTTTCTGGGAATACTTATATAAAAAATAATAAAATAAAAGAAACGATAAGAGGAAAGCACCTGGCGAATTTAATCATCGAAATTGAATGGGTTTTAAACTGTGCACAACGACACAAACGATATAAATATCGCTTATCGATATTTATTGCCGCGATTTCCAAGTGACTCATGAATAGAGAAGAATTCCATCCTTCTTCCATGAGGTCCTGACAACGCTGACAAATACAAGAACGTAATAGCGCCTTTTGATCAATAGGTATTTCCACGATATCGAATGGAATCGAACGAACGACATAAACAACTTATTCTCGTAAAAATGATCGATGATAAAGAGGAGGGGATAGTTACAGATAAGTAAGTGCTTGTTTTCGATACGTTTCGTCGAAATTGTTTCACGATTCGTTGAATCGTAGACAAACAAACTGAGATCTTTATTAGTCATTCCAAAACTCTGGAATCGCTATAATTTTATCAAAAAATTTTTTCACAAAAGAAAGTAATCTTTCACAATTTCTCTTGATTTATAAATTATTAAGAGAATCTCTTCCTTCTATCTTTCAAAATAAACTTCCCCTATTCCAAACTCTTACGAAATTTACGAAAAATGAAAGGAACACTCGAGGCTGCATTTTCAAAAGTAAAAACCTCTCTGAAATAAATTGACTCTCACCGAGGTTCAAATCGCGTGTCACGAAAGAAGATGTTCGCCTGCAAATAATTCCCTTCTCCCACACTCACATAAATAAATACCAAAAGTGGAAGACGCTCAAGGCACCGCTCCCCCCCTCGTCAAGGATTCGGATCGCGAAAACGAGGGGCAAGAATCGCGAGGCAAGAATGGAATCGAAGGTGATCGTCGGCTCGCGAATTAAAATTAGTCGTCCGCGTCATCGAAAACGGCAAAACTATTACTCAATTAACCCGTACACCCGAGATTTGGCAAGAACCAGTGGCGGATTGTCCCGGCGAAGCCCTCGAAAGCTGCAGCAGAGGGAGAAGAGAGGCCCTGCCGCTCTCTTCCGAGAACTCTTTTTTTCTTTTCTGGCACGGCCCCCTGGCACAGAGCCCACGCGCAGAGCTCCCTGAGACTTGGTGGCGATTCTTCTCTCACGTGTGCGCGCACCTCTCGATATTCCACGTACACTATATATCTCTCCAATCTCTCCTCTCCTCTCCTCTCCTCCTTCTTCTTCTCCTCTCTTCCTTCGCCTTCCTCTTTCTCTTCTTTCTCTTCCCACCTCGGCCTGGCACGGAGAGACGACCGCAAGAGGAGGAGGTGGGCTTCAAATCATATGGAATTTTCCTTTCGACGCGGAGGAATCTCCCCGGGGCTCGTTTTCAGCTCGTGATTCCCAAACAAACGATCGCTTTCGCCGATATTTTTGGTCGCTTTTTTGGGCCCGATGTTACATTAACACCTTTCGCTTTTCCACAATCCGCTTTTCAATGGATTTTTCTTACAGGTGGCACGGTTTTGACTCTGTTGTAATCGTCTTTCTAAATTTTCAAAATAGCTTCTTTTTCTTTTCTTGCACGTGGAACTCTCGTTCGTAAATCACGATTCTTAATGGATTTTTCTTACAGGTGGATTAATATTTTGATTTTGATTCTCCTTGTCCGATCTTGTAATCGTCTTTCTAAATTTTCAAAATAGCTTCTTTTTCTTTTCTTGCACGTGGAACTCTCATTCGAAGTCACGATTCTTAATTATACGATTAATTGATATGTTTTTTAATTTTATGTTTCCGTATTCAAAAACATGGGGTCGTTAAGCGTTGACTCATGGACAAGAATGCGTGTTTTTTAAGGACGTGAAAAATAATATCACGATGGGTTCTCTTCAAAAAATTCAAAGGGCCATTAAGACTAGAGGGGAATCGCTATCAGAGAAACTTTCTAAAATTCTGATATAGCGCGGCCTTTGTCCCAACGCCTGTCCGAACGATTCTCGACCTCTTTTTTCGAGATACCATAACTCGAAGGTAACTAATGACGCTTCAGAAAGTCTTATCTGAGTTCCTTGATTCGAGTGGCCCACCTTAATGACCATTGCCACATATATTTCCAATATTTCGACAATACTTGATATCTTTTGTGAATTGTTGTTTCCCAAACAATTTGCAAAAGGAATCGAATAAA